AATCTCCTTGACCGTATCATTACATATATTGAGCATATCTCCTTGGCCGTATCATTACGTACATTGAGCATGTCAGCCTACTCATCACAATTTTCTTGTGTGTATGTATGGGAGGCATCATTGTCTGCATGTAATTAAACTACGAATTCCTTTCGTTGTTTGCGAAGCTCAATATACTTTTTTTGTATTTTGACATTTATTGTAAGGATGTTATTCATTGGACATCCTCAATAATCATTGTTGATTATAGCTTGCAATGTTGAATATGCTCGCTCGTATTCTGGTGTAGGTTGTAGGGCACTGCTACATTCATCACTAACCCCTTTATGCTCATTGGCTAGTGATATACATTTGTCCACTAACTAATGTTGGCTGAAGGGATGATGTAGCGTTCGTTGCATGTCGACTTCCTTCGCCTGTAGGGGACTCGTGCATTTGATAAGTGCTTGACTATTTAGGGTGTCTTTGTAATCAATACATGTCCATTGTCGTCATTTGCATGAGCTCTAGCGTATCTACTTGCATATTGGTATGTTCATATATAATTAAGTGACATTAATTGCATAAGATGATATATTTATTCGAACTTTTCAAACACATCTTAGTTGACAATTCATCGTATATTGAGTCCCATTGTTGCTTGTAGGGTTTAATGGATTTGGTCGTATGTCGATATTGAATGCAGATGTCATTGCATTCATTGCACCTCCCTATGTCCATTGCAATCCAACTATATGAAATTTCATCATTGCTTGTAAGTGAGTTGTATTTACAATAATACTTTGGCATATGCTTGTAGGATGACAATCAGGACTGTTGTCTATAGGCGAGTTGACATATTTGCCTGCAAACCAATTGGACTCAATGGCAAAGTGGTCGCTTTCCTTCTTTAACACTTTCTCATTCAATCTGTAGACACATCGCATTCCTTACATGTTATGCAGTATCATTTGTAGAGTTCAACGCGCTTGCTTATATTGCTAGTTAAAACTTTGCTTGCAATTATTCAAATGTTGCAGGTTAATTAATCTTTATTGTCATTTACAGTCATCCACGAACATTCACAAGCTTCCTGTAGCTACTTGTAAGTGAACTATTGTGTGTGTGGTAGGTTCATGTCCTTGCTTGTAGGTGCATTATTTTGTTCATTACAAGTCCTCAGCATACACTTGTATGTGAATGGTCACGATCATTGCATGTTCCTTATAGTTCTTATGTGAATGGTCACTTATAAGAAGATTATTGTGCACATTACAAGTCCTTTGCTCGTGAGCGAGATATCATATTCATTACAAGTCAATTATTCATTGATTTTCATTTGAATATTAGAGCCATTAATTAGCATTTACATTTTAATGTGAATTTGCATTATTCTTTATTTAATGTCTGATCACCTATATGTGTTCAAATTCAACTTCAGTTCATCATCATTTGTTCAATATTAGGTCCCCTGTTGTCCAATTTTAGGTCCCCTGTTAGCGAAAAATTCGGCAGCCTCCCCATGTGTGTCTCCTGTTTAGAGGAAATCTAAGAGCCTGAGCCTTCCCACCACGGCACCACGCTATGAAGAGCGTGTATGAGTCTTCGAAGTACCTATTTCGAAATACGCAATTGCTTTCCCCACAATCTGTTGCAGATCTGTTTTCATGATTTATGATTTTGATGATAGCAAACACTTTTATTTCTCTACGACGGCCTTATTTACTGACATTTCAGGTCCACACGATCAGAATGCAATTTGGAACCAGCTCAAGATTGGGTAGACTAGGTCTGAGTCAGTTTGTATACTTTTTCCTTTCTTGAGTCTATTGTATTTAGTGTGGCTCCTGATACTTTGTAACTTGGAAGATTTCTGACTGTTCCCTAAAGTTTACTGTTTTTGGTAACATCGTCCGGGACGATTTTATATCGTCCTGGACGATCAGATCAAAAACAGAAACCCTAATTAGGGCATCCTCATTAAAGCAGCCGTCATTATGCAAAACACATCGTCCTGGACAATTTTGTATCGGCCAGGACGATATGCTCAAAACAGAAAGAATCTACCGCCAGATCTACTTAGGAATTACTTATTTTTGGACATCGTCCAAGACTATAAAATATCGTCCAGGACGATCCAGGGCAATTTTTCCAAAAGAAAAGCAATTATGACTTGATTGCATGATCAAATCATCCTGAACGATGGCAAAATCGTCCAGGCCGATACGCTGGACGATTGGACATCAGACAGCTATTTTTCAGGGCGATGTTCAGGATGATATTCCACGATTTGTTCTGGTCGTCCAGAACGATATATTATCATCCGAGACGATATGAACAAATTTCTTCTGATCGTCTCAAATCGTCCCGACTGATTGGGCTTAAATTGCACTGATCGTACAGAACGATATTAGTATTGTTTTGGACGATAATGTCGGCAACTTCCATTAATGAGCTCGTTTTGAGATCTTCTATTTAAGCTATGACATGACACTTGGTAAGTGCCTTTGGCAGCCATTGTAACTTCGTTCTTTTGGGGGAAACTTGAAGAGAGAGCTTGAAAGGGAGTGAGAAAATGGTGGAGTTTGAGAGAGGGAGAAGATCCTGTGAGGGGGGACTCAAGGGAGTGTGGAGGGGGTTCCACAGGGTTGCTCCGGCAAGCTCGCACCTGAATACCGTCGGATTCAAGGCTTGTCTCGAGGAAAGTTCACCAAAGAAGAAGATCTCTTTGGTGTCAAAAGACCCGGCGACTCCGCCGCACCGGGGAAGGTGGAAGTCATTTTGTAAGGGCTTCTCCGTCTAGCTGTGGGGGCAAAAGGAGAGACACTTAGTTTAGTGCAATACTTAGAGGGTGCCTCCAAGGAGTGGATGTAGGTCAAGGTTTGACCGAACCACTATAAATCTGGTGTGTTCTTTCCTTTATTAATTCCGCATTTAATTTCCGCATTTGGTTTTCTTTTTGGTGACATTGGTTTTGATTTGTGTTTTAATTGAAAGAATTTTTTTTTTACCAATTCACCTCTCTCTCTTAATTAGCTTTGAGTAAGTTCATAGGGCCTAACATCCCAAACGAACTTTCAAGTGGTATCAGAGCACTTTCTAGTGTCATCTGAACACTTTCACAATCACTGATGCGCATACGGGTACTTAGAGTCGTCTCTTCCATGCTAGAAAGAGGATGTACATGGTCTACCGACCACACCGCAAGCGTCGCACTGGGTTTCCTCCCACCACGCTACGAAGAGCATATATAAGAGGTCCTCTGACGTGCAACGAATGTCGAATGCGAGATTTGATAGCTTTTTGGTTTAGGGACATTATACCTGAGCGAGGTGATCAACGGCGGTGTCGGCGAAATGCAGACTATATAAATCTTTTTTTTTATTCTTTTCTCTACCTTTTTTATTCTTTCTTTTTTCTTCCTTCTTTTTTGAAATTTCTTCTTCTCTTTTTTTTTTTATCTTTTTACTTCTCTTTTTTTAATAATAACAAATAATATTAATTAATAATAATATAAAAACAAACCGTTGATGTGTGGTTTCGATTAGGTTGGATATAGTTGAAGTGAGGATTAGGCTTGCTGATTAGAGGTGATTGTGAGGAGATTAGCACAATCAATCGTGTGGGGGCTTGATTTGAGAATAGGAATGATCGATTGGAAGCAGGAGATTGATGTTGGCTTGCAAAAGCAATCGAAAGCAAATAGAAGCAGGACGTGTCGAATGGATGTGGTTAGGCTGAAAGAGGATACTCGAGTACAGGTAAGGGAATCGGTTGAATGTTCGAATAGAAGGCGAGTAGGGGCATTGGGTATGAGGTGAATCGGCATATTAGAGGGGATTTCAGATGGGATCAATTATGGAGATGTGATTGCTATAGGGAAAAAGAGAAAGTGGCTTAGAAGTACAAGATCGATGGGATCACGGTGCTGGAGGCGGGATCTGGGGCGAGCTTGGCAACTGGATTGGCAGATGCGAGCTATATGACTCGGAGCAGGAGGAAGTGAGTTGCAGCTGGTGGATTGTGGAGGCCTGTCGAGCAGGTCAACTGAGCGTCGAGCATGGACTGGACAGAGCCCGTGCGGCTTGGTCGACGAGATTAAGGTAGAAGTGTTGGAATCACGTGGAAGCGGGCAAGGGCCAAAGTAGAGAGATGAAATGGGTGGAGTCTTGCGGCTGTGGAGGTTTGGTTCGGCTGAATGTTCAAACAGGAGGATCGCAGCTGGCTGTGGGGTGTACGAGAGGAAGAAGAGGTAGCTCGGCTCTGGAGTTCGGCTGTATGAGGAAGAGAGGGAGTGCGTGTGCGCAAGAAAGTTAACAATAGTGCCTCGTCTTAGTTTTATTAATGTGAGGTGTTGAAGCTCAACGTTCCGTGTAGGAATTGCGGGAACAGACGCGAACAGCGTTGAATGCACCGTAATTCAGTAAGATTTCAGCAGCTTTTTGGGGGATTTGAACATGCAAATTTCTAAAAAGGAAACTCCTAGAGGAAGCAAAGTTTAATCAACATATCAAAGAACTCATTCAAGATAATTTCCTTCAAGAAAATACAAAATTCAAAATCCAACAATCTAGTTGAAATCAAAAGTATAGGAATAATCTTTAAGCCATTTGAATTAATCTTATCAAAGAGATTGTATGTCAATATAATAAACAAATCATTTATTTAATTTGTCAGTTATCAAAAGAAAACTTTATGAAACTTAAAAATAACAATTTTATTTTATTTTTTTCATTTTCTCCTTTACTTCGAATTACTTAAAGTGCCATAATTAGGAATCATACAAGCAAATTATATTTTTCTTTACTTATCATATCATATTAGCATGCATCAGATTCTTACTGTTAACTTGAATAATTATAAATCTACTGAAGATTCAAATAAGAAATATGTTAAATTAAAATTAGGTGATAATGTAATAATTTGTCTAAACCTAGAAGCTTTCTTATTAGAATTCTAAAGAAACTAAATGCTATAAAAATGACGCCATAAGAAAATCATAAAAAGAATCCAAATAAATGCTTATAAGTTCGAAATCTCAAAATCAAATAAGGTAGCAGTCATGTTTCTAATATATTTGAGTAGACTTCATATCAATAACTATTAATCAGTGCCTTCACTTCTCTCTAACCATCAGCACAATTCTTAAGTTTTCCTGCCAAAAATATTTTCAAAACAATTAGTGGGAATGAAATCAAACTGACTAATGATGATTAATACCAATAATATCATACAATGTTAAATAACTGATTCATAGATAATTATATGATGATGAATTTTCTCTGCAAGAGGTGGAACAATTATGCCTAGAATAAATATAATTTGAATAAACCATCGAACACGAAGTTCTTCGAACTAAGCAAATTGATGTCAAGATATCTGCTTTGTGCAGTGGAGTTTGGAGGCTCCCGATTGGTGCTTCAGAGTCTTTTTTTCTACGACTGTTCCTTTGGCATAAGTTGGAACTTTAATAGTAGATTTCTGACAGTAGGATGGATTTGGTGATTTGAGGTTCCTCACTTAATTGGTTCAAGCAATGGGTTGGACCTATGGTGACCAAGTGGAATTTTGAGATTGTTTAGGTGCAGGATTTGCAGTATAAGATTTTTGGAAATTTTGGATTAAGGATTTCTAATTCTTTGTTGCGTGCAACATTTTGGATGGATAATTATTTAATAAGAGAAATCCAACGAGGCTCTGTGATTACATAAAGGGCATATGAGACATGTAAAATTGCCATTATTTTTCTGATTGGATACGCTATGCCTTCTAATCAACATCTTGAGCGAGCTAAATACTAGAATGATTTTAGAAGAGGTATCTCCTTGTACAAGGGGATGTATTATCTTAGTTATTTATTTATTTGCTATTCTAACTTGTTTTCTCTAAGATTTGTTTTTGTTTTGAGTCTAGGATTTATTTCAACATTGATACAATATGAAATTTAATGGGTGCAAGAAATTAAATTAGTTGCATGAGTTTTCATGCTTACGAATTTCAAAATGTTATTTCTAATAGAAAATTATAGATTTTTCATATGCACTGATTCTAGTCATACTTTTTGTTTTAAACTACACGTAAAAAACAATTCTTAAAACTAAAAGTTTATGATTATCAAAGTTAAGTGTGCTTTAAAGTTTGCATCTACTTCTAGATCTGCATTAGCAAATCCTAGACTCTAAGACATCATATACCATATTTGGTCACAAGGTTTCCTTTCTTTGGTATTAAGATTAAGCAGGAATTCTTATATTTTTACTCGCAGCGTCAAACTTTTTAAATATTAGATGGATAATCCCCTTTAATTTTCATAGCCCCAAAGCTATCCAGATACTAAATACAGGATCAAACCACATTGTCTTGCTGAACCGAAGCTATATAAGGGCAGCTTCCATTGCTTTTGAAGATTTAGGAAACAAATCAACCCAGCAATTCCAAAAACTCTAACTAGGATCTAGCCAATTTTTGTAGAAGATCCAAAAACAAAATATTCTACAATTTGGCACTGGCATGTTAGGCTTACCAACCACAATTTTCTGAGAAAATTTTACAGTCCTGCTTCAGTGTACTTAATGTTTAGACTTAAACAAATTGTAAGAAACTAATTTCCCTCTTTCCAAGTTATAGAAAGACAAATCATTTATGTTTCAAGTGAGAAAAGAGTTGCCATTGGCCAATGAAGAATATGAAGTCGGCAGCAACTGTAGTTGGGCATTCGCCATTGAAGAATATGAAGTCATAGATTGAGTTTTTCCTGCATTTGGATTTCAGCCAATTTTGGCGATCCAAATTCGTCAAAAAATAGGCATTTTAGGTATTCCAAATCCCCTACACAAATGCTTTGCATTTGATTTATTTCAAACCAAATGCTAAGAAAATCAAAATCCTTGCATGCTTTTATTTTACACTAATAATACTTGCAACTAATAGCCCTATACCCATTTCTATCATAAAATACATCTTACAAAATCCAAACATCAAAGTCACTAAGACCTTAACGAAACTCTTGGTAGCCATATAGTTATGACAGGTAAGAAAATAATAATCTTCCCCCTTTATGGAAGCAGCTTCTTGACTTATTTCATTCTTATAATTGTTCTCTAAGGAGAAGATAACCACATTCTTCAATGTGATTTAGGAAATTAGGTTCTTGAATTTATATCATGGTATTAGATTTTCAAGGTTGCGATCTTTAGATTACATGATTCCATGTTTAAAACAATTTGTATCTTAACCAAAGTTAGCAAGTGATTACATTTATGGAGACAGCCGCATTGTGATTAAATAATAAAGAACTCAGGTTACAGGTTTTGCTTCTCTATAGTACATTTTATTGCTAATTACTTTATCCATGCATGCATACAAGAAGCTGCTTAAAATGTTTTATTGAATGATTATCATTTCAATTCAAAATCGTGCTTAGTTGACGTTTACTTTTCTTCCAACGACTTATGCAGTAATACAATCCTATCATTATTTAGGCCCAAACTTGATGCCTAAGTTGCAAAATGTCTTAGATTTTACAAAATATAAAGACAATATAAATAGTCCATAAACTTCCATGCCAGTTTTTATGTAGAGGGACATGGATTAATTTTTAATAAAACAACAACAACAACAACAACAACATCAAGCCTTTATCCCACTACGTGGGGTCGGCTACACTCCTAACCGGGTCATCGCAAGGCCGCCGTTTTATGTGACCAAACCATCTAAGGCGACTTTCTCTAATCTTATCTTCTACTGGAGCTACTCCAACCTTTTCACGTATATGCTCATTTCGTATCCTATCTCTAAGGGTAAAGCCACTCATCCACCTGAGCATCCTCATCTCTGCCACACTTAACTTAGTATTATGCTTCTCTTTTAAAGGCCAACATTCAGCACCATAAAGCATTGCAGGCCTCACTACCATCTTATAGAATTTTCCCTTAAGTTTGAGGGGTACATTTCTATCACATAACAAGCCCGATGCATTCCTCCACTTCAACCATCCAACTTGAATTCTGCTGATAATATCCCCATCTATTTCACCATCACTCTGAACAATAGATCCAAGATATCTAAAACGTGTACTCTTATTAATGACTTGATCGCCCAAAGTCACAATCCCCTCACTAGGTCTATTACTACTAAAATTACACTCCATATATTCTGTTTTAGATCTACTCAAGCGAAAACCTTTAGACTCTAAGGTTGACCTCCATAATTCAAGTTTACCTTCAACCCCCTCTCTAGCTACTCCCTTCAATATAGGACATTAATGTTAATTCAAGCTCTTATATGAAAAAAGTTTCCCATAAGAATGGCATCAATAATGCGACAAATATGATATTGTAAAAATTTTTACTATCGGGATTAAATGAGGATTTATTATTGTTTCTTTTTGTTTAACTAATTTAGACTAACTTGCCAAGAATTAAGGTTTGCTTTTTACACCCATTCTCTTTATCATGGCCAAAATGGTCATAACTGGTGCAAGAAGAATTAATTTTCAAAAGTTATTTCAGACTCGTCCTCACTAAGGTTCAACACAAGGAAGGCCAAAAAGACCAAGAAGAATTAACTAATTTGGATTTGTGAGAGCCATGGCACCCATAGGCGATTTGACCCTTTAAGAACTCAAATTATTTGGGGAGTGTTTATTCCCATAGGAAAGGTTGATTTAACACTCGAAGAAGATAAATACAAATAAAAATAATTGATTTAACACTATACTTATTAATATTACAAAAATATTTCATAATTTTTAAATTTTTAATTGCCTTGATTTCCAATTTTTAGATTGATTATCAATAAAATAATTATGTGTAAATATCTTATCAAAGTGGTCACATGCTTAAATTATAATTATATAATTTAGATTCATTTTTAGTATGTTTATTTGAGCCTAAAGTTTCTATTTAATCCAATAAATATGATTAACATTTAATGTTAACTATTCGATTATAATCATTATTTTTAGCAAAAGAATTTGAGGTTGATTGCTATTTCATTTAATTCATTGATTTGTTTACATAAATTTTCATATAGAAAACCATATATTAAGCTAATAAAATCATTCAATTACGAATAAAATAAAATTTTTAATTTATTAATAACCCCTGACTATTCATCTATGTTGCACCGATACGGATACAGCGACACGGATACGACATGATACAGATACGGGACACGTCAATTCTTTAAAATAAATGATAAAGGGTACGGCGCGTATATGGCATTATAATATAAATCATACATAAAAATAAGGAAAGTAATCAAAACGTAATATTTGAAATGACAAAAAAATGAAAGCAACATCATTTGTAGCATTGTAGCTTATAATATCAAAATTAAAGTAAGTACTAAATGTCTAGTACAACAACAAAAACAAAAACAAAAACATAAATTGTCTAGCAAATGAAGTTTCAACTATTCAATAGAAGGATTGATAGGACTAGCTTCTTCAGTGGTTTGTCTTTGAACTTCTATATCATCTTCAATAAATATCATAGCTTCTAATGCAGGCTTATCAAGTGAAAGATTAGCAATTTCTAATATTC